TTTTTTTGCAATAACTTTTTTGTTTATTAACCGATTTTAATTTAACCAGTCTCATTTTGTAGATAATTTTACTCCCTATAAGCTGTCTGAGAGTCACTTTTCGCTAAAATTGATGGTTTTCCCTGCAAAGTGAAAAAACTGTTTTCCTCACTTATTTGTTTAAATAGAAAAGTTAGCTAATAAAAGTTTTTGACTCACGAGACGAGAGATGTCTTGTATTATGTTCATTTAGACAATTTTACAATAATCTAGCTGATAGGACTTTTTTCGAGTAAAAATTTAATTTGCTTGGTCTAATTTAGTATTTCATTGATCGTGGTGTCCTTTAGATGTCGATGGCTTAAAGTTATACAAAACTGTAGAAATAACTATTATTAATTTCATATACTCAAGGTTCTATATGTACCATCAAAATTTAAAGTTTGTACATTCAAAAATAACAAATTTTCAGTTGATTTTTAAAATTAAAAATTCAAAATACAAGTAGTAATTCCTCAAGTGACTGTCAAATGTTAGTCCCTATCTCAATGAAACAGTAGGTGATTTGCAATTGTCGGGTTGTGTTATTCTATTCTAGTCTTTAAATATTCCAAATTTAATCAATTGGAACGACTTTTATAATTACTTGTTTTTATCATATTTGTATAACATGACAGAGCAACAAAATGGAATTTCAATTTACGAACTCCTCACAATGAAAACGAATAAACATTGCCTGTACAACGTAAATGCGGAAATTCAGATCCGCATTCTGGAATTCCGGATCGTGTGGACTGGCCTTAATTTTAAGTATATAAGTAACTAAAAGAGTGCATTTTTATGAAATACAGACGAGTCATTAACAATATTTCTTTAATAAGAATAATTAATGTCTGTAATTTTTTGTAATTATCTCCCGGAAATTGTTTATTACACACTGGAACGTCCTGAAACGCCTAAAAGCTTCTAAAATAAATTGTATCATTTTGTAAAAATCCCAAAACACATCTAAATGATGTTTATTAAAATATTTTATTTTTGTACCTTATTACTTTAATGGCGGTCATTAATCAATAGTAAGGGTCGCTTATTTCAAACTAGCGGAGTCTACCATTTTCTACTTGTGTACCTACATACGGTGTGTGGTCCAGACTTCAGACATAATATTTTGCGTGTTACTAATGATAGATACAGGTTCATTAATAAGCAAATTAAATGAAACTTTTTTATTGGAAAACATCCATTCCTTTTTCTATTTCCGTGCTATTGGCGAAAGAAAAATATTGTTGAAAGTTTCAGAAAGCAAAACGTAAAATTTTGAAGTAGGTATAGAAATGTCTAAACTGTAGTAAAGATAGGTATAACAGCTAAATAAATATTATGAAACAAGAAAACCTGTCAGATATTTCTAGCACTGGTTATGGTCATCTGGATTACCCTTAAGGAGCAATTTAAGAAGTAATTTCATCAATTTTTTTCTTAAGTTCAAAATTGATAAATGTGTTTTCCATTGTAACTTACAGCGTATTTTCACGAAAGATTCGCATCTTCATGCTTACAAAATTTAATTGATTCAAGAACTGGAGCCTATTGACTACGAAGAGCAAAGAGAGTTCGTTGGATGGATTATGGAACAACAACAAGTGGATACTGATTTTTCCAACAAAATTATCTTCAGCGATGAGACTCATTTAAATCCTGATGGAGTCAATTGATATAATTGTCGCTTTTGGTGTTCAGAAAATCCACAAGTTATCCATAACGTGTCACTATTTGGTGTGGATTTTGGGCTGGAGGCATCATCGGACCATTCTTCTTCTAAAATGCGGCTGGTCAGGCAATAGCAGTTAACGGTGCGCGCTGTCGCGATATGATAATTTTTTTTGTGTCTAAATTGCAAAATACGGATGTAGACGACATAATATGGTTTCAACAAGTCGGTGCCACATGCCATACAGCTTGAGGAACAATTCAATTACTGCATGAGTCATTTCATTGTTGTGTAATTTCCAATTTTGCTGATCAGAATTGGCAGCCCAAAACATACGATTTAAAACCGCTGGGCTCTTTTTTTTGGGAAGTCTAAAGGCTTATGCCAACAAGCCCATCATCCATGTCTTGAAAGACGAAAATGAGCGCTGTATCAACGAAATTCAGCCTCATTTATGCAAAGCGGTCACAGAAAATTTCGACAAACTTATGTGCCAACAAAACCGTGGAGGCTATTTACCCGATATTGGATTCCATACACAACCCAATAAGAAGGTACTGTATATTTTATGAATCAATAAAAAATTTACAATTTTTAATTAAAAACCTCTGTTTTCTATCAAAATTACTTTTCGCTATGAATTTTGGAATACCTTTCAGAAGTTTAAAATGCACAAATTCATTTATTCTTGCCTTAAATGATAAGATGCATTTTTTTTGTAAATTTTACGGAAATATCATATATCGTCTACATCAATATAAGTAAAAATATATGTCGTTTCATTAAAAGGCAAGATAATAATAACAGTCACCCGTCATTATGGTAGGTTTAAAAAAAATGACAATAAGTTTTTGTTGTTGTATGAGCGAAAAATATAGGCACTCGAACTGCAAACAGTATTCTGTAAATATTTTACATCTTATTAATACGAATTACTATTAACCAATAAAAATTACTAAATAAAAAAATACTATAAATAGATATATTTACACATTAATGCATATCATATTTACGCACAGTAATAGAAAAGGTACCTGGAAGACAAATCTCACTCGTAGAAATTCCAGTTATTAAGATGTAATAATGAATAAGCAACTCGCGTCTAAATGCATTACTCGAAGCCATCAATCTAAACGTTATTTTTATGAAGGAAGCGATATTTTAATAAAAATGTATTTTGGTAGTAAAACTCCAGAAATTATGGGATGTGCCTGTCAAATCCACACATCCCAGCAAAACCAAAAAGACGACGGCCGACCGTCTTTCGCTGGCTATTCTGAAAAAGCAAATAAATGTCAGTGCGGCGTTCCAAAAATACATTATTAAAACAGTAAAACACTGTTTTAATAGATATAAATATCTCCGACTTTGTAAATTCGTATCATTACAAGATCTGTCGCTGTCAAAAGATGATATTATTGCTATCTGGCTGAGACGGTTTTAGAATTAAACGCTATGCGTCGTGCACGGGATACAGCAATTTTATTTTGAAATGTTTGCGTCTAACCGGCCGGCTACGTAGCGGTATCATCAGAACCGGTAAATTAAAAAAAAAACACAAAGAAGATTCAACAAAATCAAGTTGATTGAATATTTGTGAAACAGTTTTGCGAAATAACTACTCTGCGGTGTAAAGCCACGTACAGCATTATACATCCACAATATTACTAGATCAATATTGCCGATGTACTTCAATGATGGATGGAGCTTTAGTTCGCAGAGTAGCTGTTTCACACAGTACACTGTAAAATAATTTCACTCATTTTCACTCAATAACGTATCAATTTTACACCCGATTGAGTACTTTATTGGTATGAGTACAACTGAGTGAAACTATTGCATAAAAAATGAGTGAGTTTTACTCAAAAATGCGAGTTATGCTAACTATCAATTGAGCGAGTTTTGACTCTATTCTGAGTATATAAAACCAATTTCGAGTTGATTTTTTTGAATTGATATCATCATTTTTTAGTTTTTTTTACTCAGACTTGGTTTTTAATTAACTAAATATTGAGTGCAAAAATAAATCACTCATAAATGATTAATTAAGATATACAGTGTGAAATTAATTCACTTCGCGGGGCCTCCTCCTGTCCTGGCTGAGACCCGCCAGCTGAGGCCGGCTAAGGCAAAGAAGATAAAACAACCAGAATTATAAGTTG